AGGCATATCACATGTTATATCTAACTATAACTAGGGGTTGGCTTTCCAAAACGGAACCAATCGAGATTTCAGCGAAAGTATAAGGAATTTCGTCATGAAACTTGGTGAGGATGTTGGGGAGGGGCTTTCTCCACATGAATTGGCCACTCTCACAATGTAGTTGCTAATAGTATTTAAGCAATTCGTTGTTAAATAATCTCCACTACCACCCCAAAAATGTTTGTACAAAATGCCACTTATCACTTATATTTTGTGTGATATACCAGGGGTATTCTCCAAATCTTGCAAAGCCATTGCACGTAGCACGTTGCATGGACTGCATAACTTGCAAACGCACAACAACGAAATACATGGGAAACAACATTTCCTATCGCTGCAAAATACGCAACGTCGAAACCCGTGTATATATTTAGCAAAATAGCATAGCCAGATAGATGCGATCCTGTGCTAGTTGTTTTGTTGTTGTTGTCATTTTTTTGCTGTCTGTTATTTTATTTGATACATAATTTCGCTGCTTGGTACCCATGCATGCTACCACTTTGCAATGGGGTGCTCTCGTACTCTTCCAAATTGGTATGGTAATTTTGCATTTCGTGCAATCCGTGCATCGTACAAGACTTTGAGAATACCCTACTATATTTTCAATTTTCACGTGCGTATTCTATACTTTTCAATCTCGTCCCATCTCAAGACGAGATTAAAAACCACACTTTTTTGACGAAAGAGATATTTTTGTTAATACTAAAATTCTGCGTTAAGGAGAACTGTTATTTTAAGTACAATGATAAAATCTACGAGCAGCGATCAGGAATGCCAATGGGTTCTCCAGCCTCACCTATAATAGCGGATATAATAATGGAGTAATTACTGGCCAAATTTGAAAGGGACTCCACCAACAAACCGCGTTTACTCACCAAATACGTTGATGATCTATTTGCCATTATTAAAACACAAGATATGGACATAATGCTACAGACACCAATAACTACAACAAGTCGATTAAATTTACAATAGAAAAGGAAAAGAAGGGACAGTTATCTCATTTTGACACTCTAGTAATAAGAAGAAATAATTTATTAACGATTGACTGGTACAAAACGCCGACTGCGTCTGGGAGACTAATTAACTTTCACTCCAAACATGAGAAAAAGACAATTATAAATACNTAATAAGAAGAAATAATTTATTAACGATTGACTGGTACAAAACGCCGACTGCGTCTGGGAGACTAATTAACTTTCACTCCAAACATGAGAAAAAGACAATTATAAATACAGCCAACAACTTCATTAGAAGGGTCCTCTCGATTAGTGACAAAATTTATCATACAAAAAATATTGCTGTTATTAAAAGAATTCTGGAACATAATGATTTCCCCTTGTCGTTGATAAACAAAATGATTCGTTGTTCCAGGGATATCCGAAAGGGTTAAGAATTCGAGTATATATGATAAAGAAAATTATATAATAGCATTAACATATAATAACATACTACGACAAATCTACAGCAATACAAAAGACAAGATTCCGAATTATGAGAAATCTAATGTAATGTATAAAATTCCATGCAATGGCGACGGGTCCCACGTATGTAATAAGGTATATGTGGGGACAACTAAATCAAAATTAAAGGCAAGATTTCCGCTCATAAGTCAAAGGTCACCATACTCAATTGAGTACAGTCATATCTCTAAGTGTGGATTATAGTTTTCGAATAATTTTTGGTAGTGTTCTAGTTTTTTTATATTACCATTATACTGTTCAAAGGTATAAATAAGAAGTTCGTGGCTATTGCGATTTTTTTACGTCAAAACGTCAGTTGAAGTTGTGCAACGTGGGAACATCGCAGTTATGTAAATTATTTTTGAAATATGATAATAATTACTGTATAATCATTTGTTTTCACATTCAATTACTAAACAAAATATGTCAAATTAAGTTATAAACTATAAAATAATCAAATAGTTATAATAACAACAAAACTGTAGCCATATATATCTTGCTGTACTCGGTTGAGTACAGTGACAACTTACGTAAGTAAAATAACTGTTTTTGTCTTCAGATTCCTAATAATGTGCAAACAACAATTTTCGGCTAAAAATAGCTACAAAGGGCTTCAAGAAGCTATTGATGCAGCCCTTGTTAGTTGCGATAGTGACGATGGTGATGATGAAGTTCAAATGGTTATCATACCACCTGATCCAAGTGAATTGACCGATGAAGAAGAAGGCGCCGAGGAAGATATGGTGCTATCATCTCTACCGCATGACGTGCCTGGTACTATTGAGGTATTTACGAATCGCAAGGATGGTGATTATGAAGATAGTAGTAGCGATGATTGTGACGATGAACCGCTAGCAAAAAGAAGGCGACTAGATATTATTCGCCGGCCAATCCCAACCTGGCGCAAATGTCCCCTATCATACACCTCAACTTCTCAGCGTACTTCCGAAGTCGTGAAGAACTAAAAGGCCTTAGCCCTGTACAAATATTTGAAAAGCTTGTTGATGAAAATATTGTTGACATCATTATATCAAATAGTCTACTTTATTCAAATCAAAACAACATACATGATTTTCAACTAGCCTCATCTGATTTGAAAAAGTTTGTAGGAGTATTGATATTATCTGGATATCATAAGCTACCTCGAGAACCAATGTATTGGAGTTTAGACGAAGATGTTGGGGTGGAATTGATCGCTCAAGCCTTATCGAGGCATAGGTCTCGAGACATAAAAAGAAACCTTCATCTGGTCGACAACAATTCAGCAGCAACGTCGAATGATAACATGTTCAAGATAAGATCATTGGCCGACGCTCTTATGCAGAAATTTTTACAGTGGGGGATGTTTCATGATAGTATCTCCGTAGACGAATCGATGGTGAAATATTATGGCCACCACTCTTCTAAGCAGTTCATTCGTGGAAAACCACTACGTTTTTGATACCAAAATTGGGTAGCGGCCAGTTCTACAGGATATTGTTACACATTCGATTTTTACTGTGGAAAGTCACAAGTAACTACTTTGATCCAATGGGATCTCGATACTTAGGTGGTCAGTGTACTCATTTGAGTACACCCCTGTAATCTCCCGGAAACTATGTTTTTATTCTTTTTTCTTTGATTTTATGTTCCTTTGTGCTATTTTCAATTCATAAATAAAGATGGGTCCAAAATTATGTTTGCTGCTTTTCATTTGACATCTTTCGGACAACAAGAAGGCCTTTTTGTATCATTGTAAGAATACGGGACATTATCCAAACTTTGACAACGTAACAATTTTACAAAAGGAAAAGCATTACCATAAACGCCATACTTTGGAAATGCTAGATATTATGAACACCCCTAACAATAAAAGGATCAACTTCAAATCGGACACCGACAATTGAGCGCATGTTTATCGCAACTTAATTCTAAGGCAACAACAATTCATAGTATAGGTGTGATATGTTCGTTCGCAGTCCACTGCCATTCCGTACCTTATATGCTGCGGGCAACAACAAAAGAGAGCTGCAGCGATATGCATACATATGTATTCATGTCTAACAGCCGTACCTAAATTAGCGCGTTGAGCGTTTCGCTTGTATCTTTATCTCTCTCTGACGCATTAAATTTTTATACGCTAGAAGAAGAGAGGCCGACAGGCCCAACGCTTGACGCGCTTATTTAGGTATGGCTCTTACTGTTCGTTTTCCTATGTATTGTGGTTCGTGGATTTTTGTTTACAATTACTGTATTTTGAATTGTTTACATTCTCATGTTGATGTTTTCTATTGTCTCCAAATTTGCTTGTTTAAATAGTGTCTTTCGCTCATCTGTTTCAGTCGATCAAACATTGTCAAACAAGAACGATAGAATACAAGATTGCGCATTCCCGCAGAATGACATTTGCGGCAACGGGTAAACAAAGAATTTGGCGAAGAACAATGAGTTGACAGTTGTGAATTTGCAATGAGAAAACGTGTTTTCTTCACAATTCACCAATTTTTCAAGCCATCTTATAGCAAATTAAGCACAACGTTAACAAAAATTATACAACCACTCTTGAAATGTGTTCAAAAGAATAGAAAGAATTTTGTGTTTGTGTTGCAGGTGCCGAAAAAGTGATAATATCTTGTCGCAGCGCATGTTTTCCTGCAGAAAGTGGTCGATGCTTGCTTACCTCCGATTTTAATTTGTAAATTGTGGTATTTCAACGTTTTCAACTTAACATGTCGTGTTTAAAAGTGGTGCTTTCAATTATATGTGGGCTGGTGTTGCTGTTTGAGAACTGTGAAGCTGTGGAAGCTTTTGACAAATCTCCAAAGGACCAAAAGGAAAAATCAACTAAGATGCCGCCTTGTAAATCATGCACTGTGCTTGTGAAATCATTTAAGTTGGTGAGTGCGTGGCAGTAATAACAAATTTGTGTCGTATTAAAAAAACTTTGCTTACAGGGTTTAGAAAAATAAGTCACGGCAAGCATGCCGGTGGTGATGCAGCTTGGGAAGAGGAAAGACTACGTTCTTAATTTCCATAATTTTTCATTTTTTACCGGAACAAGAAACATAGATAACATTTTCCTAGAAATGATCTCGATGATTTACCGGATGCCGATCAGGCTCCTCATGACTTTTCGGTTTCGCTGTCGTGGAGTTTCACGGATAACGAATGTCCGCCGAGTAGGAATCCTCCTTGGTTGCCAGCAAAGCCCATAAGAAACGCATAACATATATTTAGTTCGCAATTAGAATTCGAGGAAATGGTGGATAATTTCGGCAAGTCCCTATAGTTTTTCCGCCCATTTCATTAATTTATTTATTTTCCTTACTACAGTGACAAACCCTAGTTCCATCAACAAACCTACGCCTGTTAAGTCAGCTGCTTCGGTAGATAACGCCTATTTTACCAGATGCTACCGAAATAAAGCAAGAGGATGTACCTCGAACTCAACCTCAACCATCACCACCAATAGACTTGCTCAATTTAAACCAGCCCCAACCCCAGCTGCCGGTGCAAGATCCACAAGCCACTGTTATGCCAACGAGTGACGCTAGTTTCGATTTGCTTGGAGTATTCGGGGATAATTCATCTGGCATTGGCTCGGCTCCAATACCTGATATTTTAGGTAAGGATTTGGTAGATTCAAAAAAGTCTTAGACTTTTAGGCGGCCATCCAAATTTATATTTTGCCAAGTTCTGAATTGAGACCTACATTTCTATTTTAGAAATTAATGTACAACCAACTTCAAATGCCAACCTTGATGATATCTTCGGCTCAGTTGCTTCATCGGCGACGAAAATCAACCTGGAGTTTGATAGTTTTTCTGTACACCAGCCGACACCAACTAGTGCAAACACTTCAGCGACGACTAAAGTAACCCCAACCTGGTGTACTGGTGTGTGTCGCGTCAGTCTCAGCAAAATAGTCTTGCATCAACAACCAGAGCTCAGTACGTCATAGTTATTTTTCTTCTCTGTTTTTGGAAGCTAGTGCAATGAGGTATAGTTTTAATAAACATTTATTCGATTTGAAATTTTTACTACTATAGTCTTTATTTTGCAGTATATTATATACATATATTTGCAGTATATTATATTTTCATTGATCCGCTTAGTTAAGTTTAACTATAACGAAGCAAAATGATGTGTAAAACCAAGTAATTGCTTTTAAATCTAAGTAAAAAAATATACAATTTAAATGACAATTATTAAAAAGATACATGCATACATATATACGTTAAGAACATAAATATATATAGGATATAAAATTTTAATCTCTTTGTCAACTTAATTGCGGCCCTGAAAAGGGCCTCTTGTTGATTGGTATATATGTATTTATCTAAGCATAAAATTTTAATCTCTTTGTTAATTAATTGGCGGCCCTGAAAAGGGCCTTTGTATAAATCATATTACTTGCCTGCAAATAAATAAGTTTATATTTGTATAAAAGACGCTTGATGATTTTTTAAAACTAGGGACTTACGTAGCATGCAAGTATTTTAATTTTAGGAGTCTGAAATACTGAGATCAGTGCGTGTGAAATGCGGACATTGATTCATGCTGCAAGTAAAGAACGGTTAATTTCTACAAATTTAAAAACGCTTTAGTTCAAAACTTACCACATGTTTGGTATTTTATGCAATACTTACGGTTCTATAATGGTACCATATGGATCGATCTAGGTCAGAGTTTTTTTGGCTTTTCTTTTTCTTTTGTGGGCATTTTCAACGAGTTCTTTATTTAATTTTCGTATTTTGAAGAACATTCTTGCCCTGAAAAATAATTTTTTTACTTTAATGTCGCATTGAATTGTTGCAGCATGCTCAATGTGAGTTTTTACAAAATCATTTGTAATGAGCAAGCCATCTTCGTTCAATGCCTTAAAGACTGACTCAAGACTTCGCATATGGACCATCATAGAGGAGCTTGGTAGGGATAACCCACCCTCATTAAGGTGATCCGCCCAGGAGAATGAATGGTCGTCATTGCTCCTGAACGACGTGCTGGGAATGTCATCCTGCAGCTTGTGGCAAATATATCCCGCTAAATGCTCGAGTCCGTCTAGCTCCAAATCCTCGAATTCCGCTTCTTCAACCGGCCACAGTTCTGCATTAGAGCTTAAGTTTTTCAGCAAAATACCTGTAAATATGGTGAAATATATATGTGCGATTATTAATAAAATATATTTTTATATTTAAGCCGAATGAAATAGATAAAAAATTATTTTGAATTACTTGTAAGCGGAGGCTGCGTGATTTCTATGTCAGGCGTATCATCCTCTTCTACATTAGCAGAATCGGATAATACGCCCTTGTTGTGTCCTAGCAGGTATAGTCGCAGACGGTACTTGAATTCCTGTTGGTCAGGGTGATCATGTAACCCGCCTTTTGACCGAATAATGCCGAAGAAATTTTCGAGTACGTCTTGGTTTAGCCGATACGTCAAGACATACTTGACATTAAAGCGAGCTTTAATGTCCTCGAATAACAACTTCAACGCCGTATTACTTTGAATGATTCCTAGGGATATAGTAAGAAAAAATAACAAACATTTAATGTTATTCTTGAGATAACCATATGTATTAGTTTACCTTTTTGGAATGGCAGCAGACTAAATTTGCCAAGCACCCTCATATTTTTGACTAGGTCGGTCATCTCGTCTAGGATCTTGTTTTGCTCCTCGATCGCTAAACCGTAAGCAAGACACCGCTTCCTGGAGTCGGCGTGAGGCACCCTGACGTTTAGAACGTCAAACCAGTCATTTGTCTAAGGTGTATAATTTGAATATGAGTTTTAATATTGCGGTTTAAATATATCGTAACCTTAATTCACAAAGGCCCTAAACAAAAAAATAATTATATTTTATAGCAGAAGCAATAAACGTTATAAAAATAGTATCGAAAATAGGTAGAGCTTTTGAAAAAGGGGCATGTAACTCCGTTGCTTTTGGTACTAACACTTTGAAATTTTTATTTAAGCTATATTTTAGAACGAAAAACTGTTGGTTAGAGCCTTTGTGGATTAAGATAACGATATGTAATATAGTAAAATAATATATCAATTTCATAATATAATATAATAACACATACTGTTTTGAATAACTGGAAGCATTCGGTCCGGTTTTGGTTCTGCAAATGACCCAGACTTGCTGCCCTTGTTATGGCCTGCGCCACAGTATGCGAAAATAGTTTCGCTGCCGTCTTGACCTTTTGGCGGTGAGCTCCAGCCACGGTCAAGTTACTTGCAGAAATCTTGTGAGTTATTGTCAAGTCCGTGCTTGTAATTGACAATAACTCCAAAATTATTTCCTTTTTCACAGGTTTCCCATTAATTAGGAAACCTTGATCAAGGAAATGATTTCGCAAAAATTTTAGCAAGTGTGGCACGTCACCGGAAACGTAAATCCTTTGGTCATTGAAAATAAACCTATGGAAATGAGAAGTATTATAAGAACTGAAATCAATAAGTTTAATTGTGATTATTTACCACGGCTGGTCTTCATTTACGCCTAGATCATTAAAGAGGGTCCTATTGGTACCTCCAAGGTCGCATACGACAGCCACTGCATTATAGTCGCAATCTTTTGACTTCTGCAACATGCTTCGAAGCAAAACGGAAGTCATTTTGCAGTCGAAGTCATAAAAGATTGGCTGTTTCCACTTTGCCATGAGACCTGAAATATAAAAGGCCTTAATAAAGGTTTGATATTCTATAAAATCTTGATTGTAATGTTCACCTCTTAACATCGCTACCTGTACGTAGTTGACGGGGGCTAATGTTGAGTCCGACGAAACATCGTAACAGTAAGATTGTCTTACTTTCATTTCGTCGAAACTCAACACGCATAGCTTCTGTGCCTCGTTCATGTGGGTAGCGGCGGCCAATAACCGGAAGACTGGGGTTATAAGTCCGCGCGAAATGTCCAGTTTTTGTGCCCAACTTTGAAGTGTGCGGACCGACGGGAGTAGAAGGCATTGCTTATATAGCAACCTGTATGCTTTGGGGCTGGCTGCATACAACGATATTGACTTCGCAATATCCTCTTCCGCCCATTTTCGTCGCTTCGACCCAGACTTCAGCTTCGCTATCTGCCCTTTGGTAAAGATGGAAGCTAGTGCATCTTCCACATTTTTCATTTCGGCAGCCATTTCATCCAAACGGTTTTGCAGTGACTCCATTTTCCATGCGTGTCTCTTCAATTGCAGGTCGGACTCCCGCTTCAATGTAGCGAGCTCGGTGCACTGCTTTTCGTTCTCCTTTTTGAGGTGTGCATTTTCGCGCTTGAATGTCTCACTTCAAATAAGAGAAATATCAGATATTATTACATTTACACATTAAAATCTGTTACTTATTAACGTACACTTCCACTTCCTGAAGATCACTATCATAGTAAACACAGTTACGGATAGGTGACGTCGAAGCATCAGCAGTACCGTCCCTGGGCCGATATTCTTTATCGCCTTCATTTAAACCAACTAATAAACCACTGACATTAATAATATAATATTTATAGTATAATATTTGCTACCTTCGCAATTTTGTAGCTCAGTGACCTCCTCAACGCTGTCATTTTCTGACTCACACACCGAAGCAGGAGCGATGGTCGACTAGCAGTTCCTAAGACTTTTATTAGATATCGACATATATAAGTAATGAAAGTAAATGATATTTACTCATGTAATCCTTATCCGTAAAGTGCTTCATGCATATTACGCTGGTGTCTAAATTGTATGGCTTCTCCTGCCGGCAGAACTCTACCCACTTTCCGGCCAAGGCGTCGTCGCGGGGAAACAAAAAGAAAACTGCATTTGGGGCCTTTACCCCTACGGCTGCTGCAATTCAACACACGACTCGACATTTTTATAAAGTTTTTATTACAAATAAAACGTCTTTTACTTCAGAACGCACGTATTACTTCGATTTTTCACTTGAAAATACACAATACGTTTGTACTTGTTTATAAACAAAAAGTTTGTTTACGTATTTCCATAAACGTCAAAGTCGGCAAAACCAAAGTAGCGGTTTCGGGAATGCGCCACCTTCAGTTCATTACACCATGATTGTCAAATGTGTAAGTTGTACTTGTTTATGTTTATACGTACATATGTATTAATGTGTGTAATTGTAATAATGTATTTTTTCAGTCCTCATGATGACTTCAGACTGAAATCGAAATATCGGCAAATAAAAACGAATGCAAAATCAAAAATTGTGTTTTGATTTTCATGTGGCCTTGAGCTCGAAAAATATACAATATTGTTTGAAACGAACGGCCAATAAATAATAGCATAAAATATTTCAAAAATAAGTAATAAAAAACCGCGCGATTTTTTATTACAAATTTTCGCCTGCTGCGCTTTTTATTATAAAATCGATACTTCCATAAATAATGAATTTTTTTTAAATCGCGCGATCATTATGTGTATTTAATTATTGACTCCGTTTTGTGATTTCCGGCACTTTTTTGGTATGTATGGCAAATGTCGGTGCTTCAGTTCAATTGGTGTACAAAGGAAAAAGTGAAAAAAATCGATACTTCGATAAATAATGAAAATTTTTAATTAAAAGTCGCGCGATTTTTTATAAAAAATTTTGGCCTACGGCGCAGAATGTAAGATTTGACCCATCTAGCTGCTTTTAATTCTGTAATTCGAAAACTATTGAAGATAGATTAATGAAATATTGTACAAGGTACGTTATAAATAGGCGAAGCTTTTTACAAAAAATTGGTCATTAAGGGCCGGTTGTTCAATGTCTGGTTATCACTACTTCCCGGTTAAACATCATTATCGACGATTTCGACATCATGCATATAACATGTGATCGATAAAGCAGTCGTTGTATTTAACCGGAGCTTCTACCTCCGATTTGTGCTAATCAGACATTGAACAACCGGCCCTTAGGGCCAATTTCAAATTAATATTTAAATGGCACTTAAGTTTAATTGTGGATTGTAGTTTAAATGCCAGTAAACTTTCGTTGGGTTTCAGATCAACTTTCTTTAAATATGCCAAATAATTGGCAGCACTGCTGCTTGTTGCTTGAAATTGTTGTTGCATTTGCTTGTTTGTTCACATTTTGTACTAAACAGCTGATTGTTTTTTGGTGGGATTTGGTGGGATTGATTAAACAACCTACCAATCAATCTTGGTTGCTTGGTACAAACACAGAGTTGCATATCTCATATTTAAATAGCCAATATTGGCCATTTAAGTGCAGATTAAATGTATGATCTGAAAATGAATAATGGAAGTTAATCAACAATCTCTACTTAAGTAGGCCATCTGAAATTGGGCCTTAGAGTTACTGTTATGCCACATTATTATATAACTGCAATTTTTAAAAAGGCAAAAGCTGAAGTATTTTACTAACTACAAAAGCTTAAATGCCCAAAATTTATATTTACAATTTCCTTATAACAGGGAATTATAAACTGACAGAAATGGACTT